GCCACAAAAGTCAATGATAAAATATAGTAAATTATAATTTTTAAGTGATTGATTGTAAAGTCTTAAAAGCAAAATAATTAATTAAATAAATAAAAAGTAATTGATTATATAAGGTTAAAACCTCATTTTGGTCCTTGAATTATTATACGGACCTCCAAATTTGGTCTTTAAACTCAAAAAATTCCTAATTTGGTTCTTTATGTTTACCATTTTTACCATAATTTGGTCATTCCATTAAAAATCTACCCACGTGTCCGTTAACTAACAGAAACCTAATATACACGTTAAAACATTATGTCCACGTGGAAAGCTAGCTAGCAAAAAAAATAATGATTTAGTAATAAAAATTTTAAAAATTCTTTCTCCTTCATTTTTCCCTTTCTCTTTCCTCTTCCTTTCCTTGCTTTCTTCATCAATCAATTCTTCTTCTTCATCAATCAGTTCTTCTTCATCATTATCAAACAACACCCATAAAAACATAGAATTTTTTTTTTCTTTTTTTTTTTTTTGCTGAAGAACCCAACGCTTGGGTTCAACGAACTCGACGCTCGGTTCATCAGGTTCCAAGGAACCCAGTGCCTGGGTTCATCGAACCCAACACCGGGTTTGATCGAACCCAAGTGTCGTGTTCCAAGGAACCCAGAGCATGGGTTCGATGAACCCAACACCTAGTTTGATCGAACCCATGTGTCGTGTTCCAAGGAACCTCGAGCTTGGGTTCGATGAACCCAGCGTCGGGTTCCAAGGAACCCAGGCATTAGGTTCGATCAAACCCAACTCTGGGCTCCAAACCCTAAGGGGAAAGAAAAAGGAAGGAGAAGAAAAAAAAGAAAAAGAAAGAATTTTTTAAGTTTTTTGTTATATTATTATTTTTTTCCATGTCACTATTTTTTGCCATATTGTCTTTTCCACATAAGATAACATTGTGACATGTCATCATTTTACTGTAAATTAACGGTACACGTTATGAGATTTTTAATGAAAGGACCAAATTGAGATAAAAATAGTAAATAATAAGGACTAAATCAAAAAAAATTTTAGTTTAGGGACCAAATCAAGATCCGTATAATAGTTTAGGACCAACATGGATTTTAACCATTATATAACTTAGAAAAGAAACTTTCTGAGTTTTTTGAACTAGAAAAAAGTTCACGGGATGCATAACTGATTATTTTTTCTTTTTTCGTGGATTGTTTTACCTTTAATCATAATATTTAATTTAAAAATTATAATTAATTATATATTTTATTAATTTCTGTGCCCATATTTTTTTGAAAACCAAAATCAAGTAATATTTGTGTATAACTTCTCACACCTAACTTTTTAAGTTGATGACTAATAACAAATTATAAAAATATATTTTGGCTAACATAATGTTAGTTTCTTTTTTTCTTTTTTTTTTTTAACATTGGGGAATATTTGCTAATATAATGTTAGTTTAAATCTCCTCACCTTTGAAATTTGTACTTATTAAAACAAAATTTATGTATAACTTCTCAAAAAAATGTCTTTCGGGGAGTGAGTTACCATGACCAAAGGGTCCCTTGTGACAACGTTAGAAAAACTCTTCTATATTAAAAAAAGGTAACAACGACAAATTAATAGAAAAACCTACCAAAGTCTGGCCCACACACTACCCTCTAAGACCTTGCGTCCTTTCAAGTCCCTTTCTGTTTGACCTTTCAAGCCTCAACGGCTAGTTTTCAAGTGACCGTTTAAGCACCACCCAAAAAAAATCTCAAATCCATTTTTTCCACTCTTCCAAACGAACACACAAATTCTACAGCTCTGGCAGCTCTCAGATCTTGTTTCTGTAGCTCATTCTCAGCCTCTCATCAACCATCCAAAATGGTTTACTCCTACACTCCGGCGTACTACTCCACCATCCACGATTCCATCGCCTCCCTCTGCAAGACCATCCTCCCCTTCTCCCTTAAGAAGAGGCGGTTACAGGCAGCAGAGCACCGATTATCGACCCTGCAATCTGACAACCTCAAATGGCAGCAAGATTCTTTCCATCAGATCTTGAACTTGATGGGTCTCCACAAAGAGGGGATTTTGGCAGAAAGCGAAGTGGCAGCTTTCCGTACGCATTTGCTCGAGACCCTAATTGCTTCTCCACCGGAGCCCAAGCAAACAGTTATCTTGAGAGATAAATTGGTCTTCTTGCAGGTAATGCTTAAATTGTTGGTTCTTTTAAATGAATAGAGATGAGTTAATGAGAGTACAAGGGGATACTCAAGACTGTACAAGTTGCAAATTTCAATGATTAATGGGTAATGCTAAAGTTCTTGGTCGGGTTAGAACTTAAATTTCAAAGATTGTTCTTCATTGATGGGTATCCTCTAGAAATTAGGACATAATTTCTTTCGATGCTTGAGATTTCAAGTTTGAGTCTTAGAGGGGAATTAGTCCAGATTTATGCTGTTTTATTTGGCTTGTTACTGTTAGCTTTGGGGTAATGCAAACTTCATTATACTCACTCAAGTGTTATACTTTACATTATAGAAACAAATTCAGTCAATGAAATTCATTCATGGAAAAGCAAATGAGATTTTTTTAGCTTCCTCTTTTTCCTCTAATTTGATTCTCTTTTATTTATTTATTTTTTTGAATAGTAAAATTGGACCTATTAAATGTAAAACCGCCAACTAGGTTTTCTTTGTCTATTGTATTGTAGGAGCTGCTTTATGCAAAATGTATATCAGAGGAGGAGTACCATTCTTCAAAGAGGCCCTTGTTGCAGCAATTAGCAGTACAAGGAGCTGAAATTGAGCCAAGGGACATAATTGTTGCAAAACAACAGGAGAATCAAGAAGAAGAATGGTCAGTAATTGACTTGAAAGATGAAAGCTGCCTCCTTAACGGATGCAATTCACAGCCTTGTACAAAGAGCAATTCTGCGGTGAAGCAGATCAAAGAAGCAGCCTCTGTTTTTGGCTTTTTATCCTCTCACAAAGCAAGTAAAAATAGAACAGAAAAGAGCATCTTTGATTCAGAACCAAAGTTTTCTGTCTTTTCCTCTACCAAGAATGATTTGGCTTGTTCTGGAGAGAACCCATTTTGGGATGGTGATTTGAAGACTATCGGAAGTCAAACAAAGTCCATTTTGATGCAAGAAACTTCGTCAATCGAATCCATCAACATCAAGAAAAGTGGCGGTAGTACTGCCAATAAGGTGAAGAGAAAACCCTTTAGGACTCTCTTCCATAGAGAACAGAGAGAAGAGGATGGAGGTGAGAATTGTCAGGGTTCAGAGGAGAAAGGACCAAAATATGCAAAGAAGCAATGGGGTTTTGATGGATTTAAGAAATGGAAGAAAAATGATTCCGATGATGAGACTGCTCCTCTGCATCTCAATGAGAGATCGGATAGTGAAGCTTACATACGATCAATTGGAGAGGGACCAGACACAAAACAAATTAAGAGGAATTTGCATGCAAATGGATCTCCATCAGATTTCTTCATTGATAAGGTTTTTGCTTAGTGTAAACAAGACAATTTTGCTAGATTTTGTTATTTTATTCAAACCTTGGAACTCACATAATTTAATGTCTGTCTGTGTATGCCTTAGCAGGTTCTAGGAGACAAAATAAAGAAGGAATTATCACGAATCCAGACGGAGCTCTCCACCACCAATCCCAATCTTCAATTCTCGTAAGGAATTTTCTTTTTAATCTTAATTGTATTTGTACTTTTGTTGTGAGGTTTTAAAGATGTTCTATAATGCATGGTTGCATTTTGCTGTGAATTCCATCAGGAATGAACAAATTGAAGCAATTTCCACCACTCTTCCTGTAGACAAGACTGACCTAAAAAAATTCTTTCCCAAGTAAGGAAATTTTTTTTTGAACTTCTGACTTTGCTGGTTCATTCATCAAAACACTTATCTGTTTCTCCTTCTGACGATTAAGGTCGTGGTGTGATCGATATGGGGATGTTGTACTGGATGTTGTGAAGAAGGAGTTCAAGGAGCATGTTGGGGAGTTGGAGCATACAAGGAATTCTACCAGAGAAAAACACAGCAGCAACACAAGGAGATGGGTGGCATTTGAAGACGAAAACCATCACCCCAATCTCTTTGCCAACAGTAACCATACCAGTGTTGGTGCTAAAGGCTTCAAAAGTAACAATCCGTTGTTCCGTGATTACAATGGCAAACCTGAATCGATATGCTACCAAGATCAGAATCCCTTTTGGAATCCAAGGCATGGTTGAGTCACTTCATTAGATAAGGTGCATGATTTGTAATTTCGTTTGAATTGTATTATGATTTGTCTAATACTGATTGTTATTGAAGTGAATGCTTTTCAAAAACCAAATTCTCCACTGTCGCGATTCACCAGACAGTTTTTCAAAGCTAAAATCACGAGGAAACCATGTTAAGAGTAAACTGGAATTCAAATTTTACTTTAAATTTTTAGTCAGATCACTCTGGGCATTCGTTTCTGTAGGCAGAAGAAGGCCATTACTACATACATATACATCCATATGTACAGTTGATATCAAAGGAAAGGAATCTCTGGGCTTGAGACTGAAGGCTCACTAGCAACCTGACGAACATCTCCTCCACAAAGCGGACAAACCCTGAAAAACCCAAGGAAGAAAGAGTTCATACAAGGTTGAAAACAGGGAAAAAGAAAAGACACTAGGGGAGAGCAACAATACCCATGTATCTCTTTAAACCATTTACCAACACGACATATGATAGTCATGGTGGCAAGGGGAGAACAAGTATTTTATCCCCTTCCTCATATTCAGCCAAGCAAATGTAACACCTCTAAATTAGATTATTATTATCAGCAATATGAATCTTAACAGCTTACTATCAATATATAACACAAGCAAAGGCATACCAAAATGTTCACTTATTAGAGTTTCAACCTTGCATCACTCATTCCATGACAAACATTTTGGATCAGCCTATTGACAAGTATCACTCGTTCCATGTCATCAGAGAATGAGATTTGAGAGAAACTTACTGCTCAACAGTATCTCCACCCACAGCAGTGTCCACCTTTTTGTAACTTTTGAGAGACAAAGAATATCAACTACTGATTCAGGAGCTGGGAGAGAGACCACGGAGAGTGACACTGGATGGCGATGAATGACCTCCAAGACCTGCAAAATCCACAATTTTTGCAAAACTAAATAACAAGGGTGAAAAGAAGGTTGCACAGGCTAAATAATCCAATGCATCAACAGCAGAAACTTATTTACGGGGTCTAATAGCATGCAGCATATCTGCAAATCTTTTAGATACACAGCCACACATGCATGATGCTGAAAAGATATAAGAAAGTTAGTGGGGATACTCCATACATTTGGTATTAGGAATTTTACAAGGTAAGAAAGGTAAAAGAGATAAGCTTCTCAGAACTGAAAAGGAGCAAGGGATTACAGATTGTAGGAATACAGAGAAAGACCAGAATTCAATTTTACTATTAGTAAAAACAGTTAAGAAAAAGAGGGCTTTCAAATGCATGCCAATGACAATCATAACAAAAGGGATCTTAAAACTAATAAAATGCTGAGACGTGAACTTCTAAAAGGAACGTAGCCTAAATGAAACAAACATAATATAATAACATTAGTGGAGTGGAGATTGCAAGCTGATAATACAGAACTACCTCAAAGAGCTTCCGCAAGCATAACTATTCGCGATATACTTGCATGAGCGCTCGTCTCAGCCATCAAGAACAAGTCAGAAGAGCATGTACCATCAGGGTGGAGTCCAGATGGACAAAAAATAGTTCGCCTACTGATGCGCTAAAATCACTTTAGCATAGCAGCAAGTGCACTAGTCATTTTAAGTGACGGTGGATTTCTTAAATTAACTAAATAGCTTTTTTAAATCAAGTTAATTTTTTATTTATTTGTTAAATTGATTATATTCTTATATAATTTAAAATAAATTAGTAAACATTAAGTAACATAGAGATCTCTAACTTAAAAAAAGAGCTTCTAACTCCCCTTACCAAAAATCAGCATTTTCTTTACTTTTCCTTTTTCTTTTAATATAAAATGCTCTTCTTCTCAGTCTCCGTCTTCATCAAGTTCAAAACCTTCAACTTATTAAACCTCCAAATTTCCTAATTGTTGTGCATCT